GTGGAGCAGACGGTTGAATCAAAGCAGCAGAGTGAGTCTTAAATAATGTACTATCCTGTCATTTTGAGAGCCACCATGGTGAAGCGGCTAGGCGCTCACCTGCAGATCGAAAAGGTGTGCGTATTGGGTCCTGACAGAACCGGACTCTATTCAGACATAATCTTGACTTGTCAGGTTAACCCAACCAGGTACAGTCCTGGAAAGGAAAGGCGACTGGCTTGCTGCTGTATGTAACTTACCCAATGCTGATTGATCTATGCATATGTCTAGCCCTATATGCAGAATATTCCGGAAGGTATGGAAAAGGGTCGTTTACTCTTTTTTTTTTCAACTTGTCATTATCATGTCGACATTTTAGAAGATCATTTTTTGTCCATAACAAAAAGTCTGAGGTTTCTTACACTAGCAGTGTAATACATAGGCTAGAAATGACTCTTGTCCTGTGTTTTAAAAGACCATAAATTATGATTTTCTGAGCCTGTCCTCTCCTAGGATGTCTCATGTTATGATATACACAAGAACTATTCAGCTGATGGCCCACTGAGGCACAGCAAGTGTTCCACGGGTCAGTGCCATTTGTATTGTATTAACTCTTTAAGGCCAGACTAATGCTGTGAGTGTTGAGAAGTTCCGATTTGCCCAAAAATAAGGTCAGCGTCAATCTTGTGTCCCATACATATTGATTTGCAAACGGCTTCGTACTCGTTTCTAATGTGGGGAACTACCTTTAAAGTATTTAGGGAAGGTTACTCTAACAATTTTGTCTTTGCGTACAGGGCTTGTTTGCACACATGCCGGCACAAATTGATCCGATTCATTATTATTGTCATTTTTCAGGCAGTGCATTTTTTCTTTTAAACTGGTTATGTTCTGAACACATGCACAGGCAGAAAAATGTGCCTTTCAATGACTGTAACCCTGAAGTTGTTTCAGTCAGATGTTTTCTAACTGATAATAATGCAGTAACGTTTAAATTTCCTGGAAAGTGATTCAGTCGGTGAATTTACACCAGCAGCAGCTCAGCAGTTAGCTGTTCGTTCTGATGAGGTAAATCCAGGAGGACCTATTTCATTTGTGAAAGATGTGAAAGTAACCCATTTTTGCACCCAAAGGACTGTTTCCTGCAGTACCATACTCATACTATGGCTGAGCTGCATTGAAATATTTGCAGCTACGATCTATATATAACTAAAAAGTCAATATTTTATGTGTATAGGACTATAGGTCCAATTTTCTGCCATTTTGGATTTGTTAAAAAACTGAACAGACTTAAAAGTTTTGATTCTCTGCAAAACTATAATAAGTGAAGATATTTTTGGTAAAATTTTAAAAATAAACATAAAACACTTGATAAATATTTTTTTTCTCTACTAATTATAACAGTATTAAACAAAAATATATCACCAGATTTAAAATGTACATTCATTACTCTTTATGTTAATATCTACTTTTGTAGGGATTAGAAATATATTACATTTTCAGTTGCCTTTTGTTTTTTCTGACACCAGCCCTCTGTGATTTTTGTAAAGGAAAATTAATGTGAGCCAAGTCTGTCAAAATTCATAGTTGAAATAGTTGATGATCTTTCTATCCTGGATATCAGATCTCTGGTCCATGGATATCCCAATTTTCAAAATGTTGGCCTTTGACTAGCCTTGTTATACAGGATTGGCATGCTAAATTCCCCTCTTTGAAAGTGAGATTAACTCTTTGCAAATTGAATTCACCCTCATCATCATGTGGCAGGTCCTTTACAGAACATCACTCTCATCACGGTTTACCTTAAGGAAACTGTAAATTCACCTAACTCTTTGCAAATTAAATTCACCTTTTTGCAGTTCAGATTTTCTACATAAAATTGTCTAATGAAATAAAAATATACATGTGCCAATGTCTTTGAAGTCCATCATCTCCAAGGATATCTCTTGTCATGTGTTTCCAAAGACCATAGACTATGATGTTCCAAGTCCTTCCTTTTATATTATTCATGATTGGCAAGCTAAATTCACTTATTTTCCAAATAATATTCACCCTTTTCCAGATCAAATTGTGGTTCTCAGGGTGGCTATCTACATAAAACTTTGGTTAAAATTGCATATCTGTAGTAAAAACTTAGAGGCTGAAGGCGCTATATGGGATTCTGTCTGTAATATCAGAAAGATTGCACAAGATAGCATGGTTTGGATCAATTGTGTGCCATATGTGACTTATAAACGGAACAGTTGGATGATATTGATGTTATGATAAGCATAATTACATTATACATTTTTATTTACTAATTATAGCTCGCCCGGCGCGCTAGTTAAATTGGTTAAACCAGCTGTGCAGCGACCGGGTGTCACACTCCTTGTGGTCCGAGTTCACACTTGAGGGTAGTCAGAAAAGCCACATAATTCCCAGATTCATGGTATCTGTCATGGAATTAAGGCTGAAGGGTTGCAATATCCATAGTACCAAGCCAGAGGATTTACAACTTATGGTTTCTGGGTTTTTAAAAAAAATTTAAATTATTTTAGCTTCAGTTGAAGAGTTTATAATTTCTTCTATCATGTTGCCAAATTGTTTCTTAGTCCATCCTCTTTGAGAATATCATGTTTGTCAGGGACCATATCAATACATAGACTCCATGTCTTCAGTTCATAGTAAACTTTGGCCAAAGCATCTGTTTCTGAGAAATTTTACTTTTTAGAATTCAACATTCTGTGATGTTTATATCATTCAGAATTTTGTTATATTTCTTGTTCTTAATACCCAAATTCAAAGATTTCAGTACAGTAGCCTCAGTTTTCTCTTTATCTGAATATTAAATGATTTAATCTGTGCCACAGAAGGAAAGATACATGTTGTCAGAAGTGTTACAGTGGTTTGTTAGTTGGAAACCTTTTAACAGTTAAGAAGTGTAGCCTTTTACAGTTAGGAGTGAAACATTTGACATTTTAAATATGGAGCATTTTATATTTGAGCAGTGGAACCTTTTACAGTTTAGGAGTGAAACATTTGACACTTTAAATATGGAGCATTTTATTTTTAAGCACTGGAGCCTTTTACAGTTTAGGAGTAAACATTTGACACTTTAGATGTGGAGCATTTTATATTTGAGCAGTGGAATCTTTTAAAGTTGGGAAGTTGGACTTAGTACAGTTAAAGATGGGGAAAAACCTTTTATTAAATTTAATAGGTTTGAGTCTGTTAAGGTGGAAATATGAGATATTATTAAAAAATGAAATTAAAAGAATTATTAAGAATTATTATTATAAATTATTATGGTGGAAATAGAAGACATTATTACAAAATTTAACCTTATGCAGTTGAGGAGTTTAATCTTATACATTTGAGGAGAGGAACATTGTAAAGTTAAGGAGTAGCCTTTTATAAGGAGAGGAACCTTGTATAGTTGCGGGTGTGTTATTTTTAAATATTTTTTTTTTTTTATGTTACAGGTCGAGGTCTGGATGAATTGACTTTAGACGAACTGAATGAAAGAGAAGATGACATTGATGATGAAGATGAGAGAATATTTGAGCAGTACAGGTCAGTTATTTTTTTTTTTTTTTTTAATGTTCAGCATATAGAAATGGACTTCTCTTAGGCCTGGGTTGTTCATGTTATTTCTTACTTGTATTAGGTATTTCTTTGTCAGCAGACTGCGTCTCATAGCGCACAAGAATATTTTTAGAGGTTAATTAGTCTTCACTCTTTCAGTTTTTCAAGAACAGTTAATTATAAATTGACGCTTGATGTGTTCCTTGATTTTCAGGGAGAGAACGGATGATGAGTAAAGTTTGTATCACATATGTTTTGCATACGTTTGTAACCTTATGTGTGAACGCGTGTGTATTATTATGGATATCTTTTTGCTAAGCTATTATGTTTGTATGTGAATATCATTGTATCTTTTTGTGTATGTTTGTGGCTATAAAAATATGACACTAGCATTGGCCAGGACTTGCATTAAGAAAACCTGATAACAATATAACACAAATATCCTTGCACTGGAACCCACAAGTTATGAAGAATAAAGGCAGATCTGAAAATACATGGAGAAGAGAATTAGGGAATAAGCTGAAAAGATGAGAAATGGAGGGGGAGGGCGTATGGGGTAAACAAAGGGGAGGACCACTGTCAAGGACCTTGTATCTATGCTATTTAACTACGGCTAGTTGTACGGCCCTGTGACAGACACACTTAAAACACACACCTATTGAGTACACACATAATCTTTAATGAACAAAAAGCAATTCAACCTAAAGCAACCTCAACAGTTATGGACAGTCGCTAATCCGAAACGCCAGCAGTGGCAGCATTTATATTTGCTAATCCACCCCGAGCCGTTCCCATGGATGTACCAGAGGACTTGATTCCACCTCACTGTCATACAGCGCTAACTAGGCTGCCGTCCTCGCCACGCGAGACTCAGTGGCACACGCAGGATGAGTGATGCAAGTATGAGCGGGCAGTGTTAACGCCACCAACAAGCACAGCTAAACTCTAATAACCCATAGACATAAACAACTATCTACGCATGACACAACACCAACACGACTGTCCATCGAATACTATACATCACACAAGAAATACTAACAGCTAACCAACACATATTACGACAACGCTAACAGTCCCTATCTTTCAGCTCCTAACACAATGCAATCTTTAATGTCCCTCTATGTCTTCAGCCTCACACGTCCATGTCCAGCGCCTTTTTTCTCTCCCCGTTCAGCTTCAGGTAAATCATGTATGTAGTACCGGTGTTCAAGCCATAATAGGTTTTCCCCATATCATCAATTCAGCTGGCTGACCGCTGGTGCACCTTTTGGTCTGTCGAACACACCAACATATAATGTTACAAGTCCTATCATCTATACTCTGACGCATACCCTACCCACAGGGCTATGACAACCACTCAGCGTATATATATATATATATATATATATATGTGTGTGTGTGTGTGTGTGTAATATTATGTTTCAGAAGTATAATACTTTTTTCTTTTATATGTTTAGACGCCAAAGATTGGAAGAGTTGAAAGCAGCACAGATGAAGGCCAGGTTTGGAGAGGTCACAGAGATCAGCAAAGCTGACTATGTGACGGAGGTCACCAATGCAGGGGAGGGTGTCTGGGTGGTGCTTCACGTATACAAAGATGGGTAAGTTGATTCAGCTTCTTTTCTTTACACAAAGCCTGTTTTATGTCTATGCCGTTCTGAGCAAATTATTCTGTATACTGAAAGAAATCTTTTATGTTTACCGGGCTCAGTTCCTGCTGTCAGCAGTTTAGAACAAAAGATGGTCTCATGGCTTTGACATGAGAAATGCACATTCAAAAAGGCTGGCATAATATTCTCATAGTTAGTAGCGAGTACATTGCAGCCTACCTCTCTTGTGGAAGAGACAGTTTTTGTATGTGTCTGGGAAGTATGATGCTAGTTTCATAGTCTTATAGACCAGTTGGCACTCACCAGGTGATTTGGTCAATGGCAAGTCAACAGCCATTATTTCTTGGATGCTTCTGCTTCAAGAGGAGTTGAATGTTGACTAGTCTATACAAATATGAGTCCAGCACCATACACTTGATGCGCTAATGGTGCGGGAAAGGTCAGTTTTTTTAAAAGTTATAACAGAAGATCTGTAATATAATTTGTTGCTGAAAATGGTTGAATCTTAAAATTGTATATCAAGTTCTTGTAACATCTCATCATCTTATTGGTAAGAGGGCCGACCAGCACAAAGGTAAACTTTTCTTTTAAGTTTCTCCTGCTACTTCATTTGAAAAAAAAAAGGGGGGGGGGGGGGGGGGGTTAAAAATCTTCTTTATGCTGTTTCCAACACTTTATGTAAGTTGGTCTTTGTTTCATGTAAGTTGGTCTTTGTTTCTTTAAAGCTACTTTAATGTGATTGTTCCATATTCTGTGTGGTCTTCCCCTTCTCTGTGTCTGTTATATTTCTTCAGTGTGGCAGTTGATACCAGGGCTGCTTTCAGTCATAGTCTTCTGATTTGTTAATTTTAAATTTCATTTCTCATTGTTGCTCTGACATCTCATCTCTATTATGATTTGCGCTCATAAGCGGTAGTAAGGGTCTGTGTTTTCAATTTTTGGCACTGATAGCATAAATTTGGCCAGAAATGGTTCTTATTCGATTTACCTTGGTATACAAAGGTATACTCATATGTTAGTTTTCATAGAACCGAGGTTTCTTTAGCACATTGTTGATTTCGCAAAGATGGACACAGGGGACAAGAGACACCTTGCACAAGAAAGTGCGAAGGGCCAGGTTTCTTTCACGCAGGCTGCAATAAAAGTGACATTCTGTAAAAGACATGTTTTATGATGACAGTGAATGCCTTAGCAGTATTATGATGTTGTTTTGTCCATGCATTCCACTGTGTGAATTACATTTTTCAACAGTTATATCTTTGTTTGTTTTGCCATCAATATCTCACTGAGTAATCAAAGTCTCACTTATGTATAATTAACCCCTGCCAGCTTAACCACCTGAGACCAAATGAGAAATACTATCAGAGAACTGTGGGAATAAAACCTTTCACTAGTTCATTGAAAAACAGAAGATCATAAGTGTTTATCCTTGTTAGAATGCAGCCAAACTACAAACTATATTTATTTTTATTTTTAACCTCTAGCATTCCTTTGTGTAAACTCATCAACAATTAGAATCTTTTTCCCCCAACAGCATTCAGCTATAAGTTTGCCATTGTATTTATCTTTTCTCCCCAACAGCATCCCACTGTGTAAGCTTGTCAACAATTATCTACAGAACCTAGCAAGAAAATTCCCTCAAACAAAATTCCTCAGAAGTGTGTCATCTGTGTGTATACCCAACTACCCAGACAAGAACCTGCCAACGATCTTCGTCTACTTTGAGGGAGACTTAAAGAAACAATGGATAGGTCCTTTTGCCTTGGGTGGCATGAATCTGAAACAAGATGGTAAGTGGTGTGGCAGAGATCTTCTCTTGATGTCTCTGTGTATGACTGTGGGTTGTTCATGGGTGTCAGTGACAATTTGCACAATTTTGAACAAAGGTTGAAAGCAGATAACCTGCTGAAATACCACACAGCAACAGTTGAATTTCAGACAGTTAATTCGGACACACCAGGAAGATTAGTTTTCTACTAGCATAGATCTCATTTCTTCCCTGTTTGGGTTCTAAGGCCCATTTTTGGTTGAAAAGAATAGAATAGACCACCTGCCCCTTTAAAGGGACCCTTTTTCAGACGTATTGGGCGTATAGAGCTAGACCTGTTTTTTGCAACCTAGTCAGTACTTGGTGGATGAAGTGGTCAGCATTAGGCCAGTCACCTTTACTTATCAAAACTTTACTTGGTACCCATTTAAGGCTGGGTCAACCTAGGAACCAGCATCATTTTTGAAACAAAGTCCAGCTTCATCAGTATCTGAACCCATGACCTTTCGATCCACAGGGGAGCATCTAGCTGCTACACCAAGGCAGCTCCCAGTTGCCCCTTAAGCATGTCATAAAAAGCAAGTATTTAAGGTTTTGCTGAAATCAGATGTGTGGAGTCGAAAGTTGTAGTAGTTTTCACAACAGCCTGGCTGTAAATACCAGTACAGTATGCCAAAGGGCGAACAAGAGAAAAAGATCACATTCGTAAAGCTGTCCATGGGCCAATCAGATTAACCTAACCCTGTGCACAAATAAATACCCATAGAAATATGATGTCTCGACCAAAAGCTGCAAATATTGCAGCTGTCCTGTATACATGCACAATGCAGTTATGTCATTTTGACGACCAGTGACAAGGAAAATTACCACAGAGCATGTTGCTTCTAGATTGCTGCTAATTCTTGGCAACATCAGCTGTAGCACCCAGTCCTCGTCTGTCAGTTGCTATATGTCTCTTTAATTATTCTCTAGGGTTCGTGCCAAGTTGTCTGGGCCTTTGCTATCATCTGCAACTAAACCTGCATTCTCCCCGTCTTTTTTAACTTCTCTCTAGCTTTATTTGTGGGTTCCATTATAAAATAATTCTAGTTGTATTGCTCTTAGGTTTTTCTTAGTGTGTGTCCTATCCAACCCCAATGTGTTCTCTTCATCTTTTGATTCATTCTAAAAAGCCGACCTTTTAGTGAGCATTGTCAACAACTGTTGAACGTAAAGTTGCTAACAAATGCTAGGGTTAGTTCTGCAACATCCTGAAAGGGTTACACAATTGACTTTTCTTTTCCCCACATTGATGACTGTGGGATGTTTTGCTTGTTGTTTCACAGAATTGGAGTGGATGTTGGCACAAGCAGGAGCTATCCCTTCAGACATAGAGAAACCAGAGCGGCCAGAGATTCATGATGTCATGACTTCAGCAATACGACAGAGCCGGATAGATAACATTGATGATAGTGATGATGACTAGCTGTAGCTTGTCCTTCAAGAACATTTTGCAGCAGTTAATTTTGACCTAGAGGAAGATGGTTGTTGTCAGTGAAAAATGAATACATTATGAGGTCATTAAGAGGAGGCCATATTCTTTTTACTTGTGGTAAGATGCGAGTAAACTGGAACAGATTATGACAAAGGGAAACTTAGGAGGAGTAGAGGCAGGAAGAGACCAAGAGAGAAGATTTAAGTCTGGCATTATGGCATTGATTAACATCTGTATTAGAAATAGGGCAAAATACCTGCCACAAGGAGATGATGATGGACGTTTGTACAAGATGTAAACATTTTAAACCACAGAAACATATAGGAAAACAGCAACAATGAAAGAAAACGACTGATAAAGAACTTTGTTTTTAAAAGAGGTAAAAATTGGGGCATGGAGGCCTATATTAACATTTGATTTATCTTACCTCATGCAGCTCCATTTGAAGGTTTTCAGATCATGTTACTATGCAATCCTCAACGTTTGCCTAGCTTAGTTTCCGAGGCAGGCAACTTAGAAAAAGACTATTCTTTTGGCTTTCGGTTTAGAAAGTGGATGAGAATCACATAGTGGAAATGACTGGAACCTTATCACATAATATTCCATTGTTTGCAGTGGCTACATTGCCGCCAACCTCCATTGTTTAGATGGCACCATTTGGGGGGGGGGGGCATATCTCCTATCTTTCTTATATTATGTTGGTAACTGTCTCTCTTGAACAACCGTAATGTATTAGGTTTGAAACACATTGAATAAATGGTAAATTAAAAATCGACATCATAGCACTCAGGGAAACTCCCATAAGCGCTCCATCCCCATCTTTAGCAGCAGGCGAAGAGTTCCAATTCGGATGGCACCAGTAACTGTCTGTCTTGCCTTACCATTGAGTGTTAAGCATTAGCCAGATACCCTGATAAGTCCTTGAAGTACCATTCTTCTCAGACAGTAATAATCTCTCTGTGCATCGGCACTGTTCACTCGCTCTCAAAGGGCTCTCACAATATCTAGCTTGTCATATATCAGTTCACACCCAAGTGGTGCAGAACCGGCCAGTCTGTTTGCCTGCTCTTTTCCCAACACACTGGCATAACCTGGAGAAAAATATCCAAAGGATGCTAACTACTTGGGACCTCTGAAGCGGTGCTTCACAGAGCATGCCTGTCTCCACCCTTCTCAACTTGCTCTGTGAGACAGTTACAATCATGGCATGTGTGTACAGCTGATTCTCAAGCCAGCAGTGACTGCCTCCACCTCCATTCTCAAACTAAACCTTGTGATATCATATGCCAAGCTTTGTTGTTTTTGCTATGAACCCCTATGCACTTAGTCTGCCCCTCAACACAAAGCCACCTGTATCACTTTGACAGGAATTGTCATGAATCATTTGTTGAACTTCTGATTCTGCAGCTTCAGCTGGCCAGTCCCTGCAATCACGGCCTAAAGTGATAAGAACCCTACACAAGTCTGAAACTTGCTAGGACACTGACCCACTACTCTCCTAGCCCAAATTTAAACACACTGAAAATATGCAAGAATCATCAATAGTTACTATGATTTGTATTAAGGAGGCATGGGGCCTATATAAAGTTCAAAAAGCTCTTCATTGTATGCATTTATCTTTGATTCAGTGTGTAGAAAATCGTTGCATAGTTTAGTTGTGGAGTATGCAGTGCTTGGTTTCTATGACTGTCCTTTGAGGATGTGTAAAAAAAAGAACAAAGACAAACAGAAGTTTGCTTTGTATATTGCCCAACACACCTCCTCAGGCCAAACTGATTGACAGGTGGAAAAACAAATAGTTACGCATATTCCACTATAAGTGGGGAAAAGCAGCACAAAATAAAAATAAGAATGAAGACGTTGAAAAATGCAGCACAAAATAAAAATGAAGGGGAAAAAAATGAAATAATTTAACTAATTCGACTTAGAACTCTGAATACTGTAAACAATAAAAGCATATTTCGAATTATGTACGTGCCGACCAGTGGCAGAGTCCTAGGTTTCTTAAAGTGGCCATAGTTAAAATCTGTCCAGATTTGTGTAAGCAAAAAAGACATAGTAGTGAACCTGTTTTTGTCCTGATAACATAGACAGTTACCTTTGAAACTGGTTGATTTTGTATTTCAGTTATAAGTGATTCATTTATTTGCTTCATTTGATTCGACTGCAATCTATTCTTACATTTTCCCTTTACATTCACAACAGGGAAATCTTGCTTTGATATGTAATATGTTTATGTCACCCATCTTGAAGACTTTGTTGTATATTAAATCTCTTTAGGGAACTGCTTTGTTGTGACTTAAATCTCTTTAAGGAAACAGAAACTACAAGCAGTAACAAACAGTCAGTCAGAAATATGCTAATAATAATAGTTAGAAATTGAATTGTATCAGTTTTCATTGTGTGTTTCCTTTGGCATTGTGTTTATCATCCTTTGTATTGGTATGTCTTTAATCCTTATTTTATTAACTTAAATTTGTGCTACATTGGATACGTGCTTTATTATATCTGTAAATAAACTGATTTTATAACTTGTTTGTCACTCTGTGTATTGTCTTTTCTTACACATGACAGGCAAGGACATCAGTGGAATAAGTTAAAATCCTTTGTTGGCTTAGAGAAAGTTTTTTTCCCTTTGTTGTTTCTAGGGCCCTCATTTGAGGAGTGTTTGTTGCCTAGTGATGCGTTTTAGTAGTACTTGTATTTATATAATTAAACTCAATATTCAGCTCAATTATAATTCTTGTTAAGCTATCTAAGCCTATGTGATTCATTGCCTCAGTTATTAGCCGCCTCCATCATCTCTGTGATTGGTCAACTCTGTGCAGTTAGTGGCTTTAAGTGTTTGTAGGTCTGTCAGTAAATTACATCTTCGTGGTCTCCCTTCCGGTCAACTCCTGTTCAGCTCCTTAGTGTAAGCAGTTAATGCCTCTCTATTACAACCGGGTTGTCATAAAAGCCAGTAATTAGTGGTGTTTTAAACAGGTTGTGAATTTTCTATGCTGAAGTGTCACAATTTTGTTAATGTACCATGGATGAAAGAAACAGAAATAAACAAAAGTATCCATACAGCAAGCAGGATTCAAGAGCTGCCGCTTTGCTGGATAATATGGTTGTAGAAGTACATGTAGTACAAGTAGTTGTAGGCAACCCAAATGTCAAGTACTGGGATATTCTGCCTACATTAGGACAGTTTGCATAGATAGATATGTGTGAGCCATATACATGATACCATGCCATGATTTCATGGGAAGGTGGAGAAGAACATAACAACGTATTATCTCCTAACGATAGGGTGCTAAGCTTTTCTAATGATGTGAGTGCCAGAGGAAATGAAGTCAGACCGGTATTGTCCATTTGAAGTTTTGTCAGATTTACCAAATCTCTAAATGCGGAAGGGGAAATTTCCTTTATTGGATTATAATTCAAGATTAGGGTATTTAAATGCAGGTATTGTGTAGAATTTCCACCCGTTATTTTATTTATGGAATTTGATTGTAAATCTAGGTAGACAAGGTTTTTCGGAAACATATCAAAATTAACTTCGCTGATTTTATTTGCCGATAAGGTTAAGGATAAGAGATTTATTATAAGGGGAAAATCTACAGTCACCGATGTTACATAGTTGTAGGCAAGCGATAAGTATTCTAAAGACAAGGGTAATCTATTAGCTGGAAATACTGATATGTTGTTTCTGTGTAGTTCAAGCTTGAGCAGATGTGTCATGTATGAGAAGTCGGGAATTTCTGTCAGCCCCATGTAAGAGACAGTGAGATTCTGAAGCGTGGTCGCTAAGGGAAACAATGCTAGTTTATCCATTCCCAGAGTACCATCTATGCTGTTTCTTGTGGTTCCACTTATCTGGAGGTCTGTCAAATTCTTCAGCGTTGACAGAGCAGCAGGAGTATGAGTAAAATTCCATTCCGTCAGCTTGAGTTCCTCTATGCTGCTAGTAGAGTTAAAGGCGTCGTCAGGAAGAGAGTCAAAGTGCTCCAAACTTAGGGCTGCCGTTGTAAGTGATTGAAAATACGAGAACCATACAGGCCATTCCAGAAAAACTACATCCTGCAGCTGTAAATCCGTCACAGTTTTGGCGATGTGCTGAAGTATGTCGGTGTCCCAGACATCGGTATTTGTGTCACTAATTCTCAAAGTCCTCAGACTGGTCAAACGGAGTAAAGCTTTAGGTAGAGATGACATGTAGCAATAAGAGATTTGTAGATGGGTCAAGGTTTTCGCTGAATTGTCAAAGGCATCATCCGAGATGTTCATGAGAGGAATAAATGCAAATTCCAGATCCGCAAGGCCAGGTGGTAGGCTGTGTATATCCACTGATGTGAAGCTTCCCATCTGCAATAACAAGAAATTAATGGCAATAGAGCAACAACAACAACAAAAAAAAGAATAATCATTTTCACACCAATTGTGCATCGATCGTGTGACGCTAGGCTTACATTTAATAAACCAATCAGCTGTCGATGGATTGTTTGGTCATCATCCTGCCGCTCATCACTTCTATTTCCTGGTCCCAGTTTTATGCTGGATCAACCAGGAGCTTAGGCCAACTATTTAACAGAATCCATCTCGCTGTGGATTTGAACTCAAGACCCACGCACCAACCAGCAAGCGCCAGACCACTGCTTCCCTGGCTCCCGACGACAGGGGTGTGATGTCTGTAGTGTTTGTGTATGTATGATTTTGTGTACGTATGGGTAACTGTATAAGTGTGGGCGTGTGACAGTCTGTATTCCTGTCTGTGTTGGTTCGTCTATATGCGCGTTTTTATGTGCATATGAATGTGTATCTGTGTGCGTGTCAGTCTGTGTTGTGTATCCGTATGTGTGGATGTGGCTGTGTGTTTGTGTATCTATGTTGTGTCTGTTGGTGTTTCTGCCTGTGTGTCTATGCCTGCGTGTGTCTGTGGGTGTGTTAGTATGGGTGTGTATGTCTCTGTGTGTGCTATTATGTGTCTGTAGGTGTGTCTCTGAGTGTGGCTGCATGTGTATCTGTGGCTGTGCGCGTTTGTGTGTGTCTGGGTGTGTCTATTATATAATGTCTTCGTGTCGCTTCGTGGGTATGTGTGTGTGTGTCTTTTTGAAAATGTGTTTGTGCATCTGTGAGTGTATTTGTATATGTGTGTGTGTGTGTGTATCTGTGTCTGTCTGGCTGTGAGTGACTGTGTGTGTGGCTTTGTGTGTGTCTCTATCGGTGTATCTATTATACGATGTCTTCGTGTCTCTCTTTGTGTCGGTTTATGCGTATGACTGTGTGCGTGTGTGACTATGCGTGCCTGTGTGTTTTCCTGCCTGCGTGTGAGTATGTGTTTGTGTGTGTGACTCTGCATGCGTGGGCTTATGTCTGTATGCGTCGGACGTGTGTGTTTTTGTAGGTATTTTTGTGCGGCTGCGTGTGTGTAAATATGTGTGTGTATATGTGTCTGGGTTGTATGCGTGTGTGTTTTAGAGCGCATGTCTGTGTGGGTGACTGTGTGTGAGTGTATGTATGTACGTATGTTTGTGTGTATGTATGTTTGTATGTATGTATGTATTTCTTCTTCTTCTTCTGCGTTCGACATCAGTCAAGCTAAACATTGAGTCCCGTCTGGGTCACAAACAGGATTGTGCGTTTAAGGTCGCCACCGGTCCCCCATAGCTTTTCTTTCAATGTGGCTCCCTTGGGCCAGATCCACAGTCTTTGCTGGGAGAGGTAAGGGCAGTACTGTAGTATGTGCTCAGGGGTCTGTCTTTCTGCTCCACAATCTCAGGCAGTATATTCTTTTATGCCTATCCTGTACAGGTGTGCTCGAAGACCACAGTGTCCAGTCCGAATTCTAAAAATTGTTATTTGTTCTTTCTTGTTGAGTTTCTTTAAGCTGTCACTCTCTGGTCTGTAATCTCCATTCTGCCTTCTCCACTCCCGCTTGAAAGACTGCTTTAGCTTTTTTTTTTTTTTATAGCTGTGTGGTGGATGAGGTTATGGAAGATTACCCCCAGCTTTTGCCAACTTATCTGCTCTCTCATTTCATTGTATTATGTATGTATGTATGTATGTATGTATGTATGTATGTATGTGTGTATGTATGTATATATATATGTGTGTGTGTGTGTGCATGTTCGTATGTGTGTGGATGTGTGTGTTGGATGCCTATGTGTGTGTGCGAGTGAATGGGTTTGCGTGTGTATGTGTGCGTGTTCGCGCGCAAACGTGCGCACATATTTTACCACCCATGCTTTTGTTTTTGACTTGATATTCATAATATGCATATTATTACATGAACATAACATGCTTTATTGATGAAATACAACTGCTGTGTGAAAGATGGGAGTTTGGAAGGGCCGAATTTAAGACAGGCCTGCGTCCCTAATTTGTAGCCCTTTGAAAAAAAAGTTTGTTCGTTCGTTCGATCGATCTTCTTCTGCATATGCCATGAAAATGGCGCTTGGTACGTTGTGTTATAGCGGCCTTCGTGGCTTTGATGCTACGAGTCCTACTCGTAATTTCAACGTACCGCGATCGAAATCCACTACTTGTTGTGTGGGTTTTTATCTTGGTATGGGGCGTCGCAGGTCGATCCAGCCTAAAATGGGTACCAGGATGTCTGTACTGGAAAAGTGGGAAAAAAAAAACACATATATAGAGAATAACCAAAAAACGCGCAGTGAGTTTCTCAGTATTAATAGAGTTAAGGAATAACAAAGCTATGTTCATAACCCCTAAGCCACAGATGATGATATAGTATACTCACGATAAATGTCACGCTTGACACGTTTGTGACGTCAGTACCCGTTGATAGCGGGGGGATCTCCTCCAGATTTACACACTTGACTTGACCAGGTAAACAGTCACAGCCCTAAAAGAGAAATATCAAAGACAAGATCGAGATATGACTGAGGTGTTGTCTCCACAATAAAGGTTGATTATAATATTTCTGCCGCTCTCTTTGTCCCCCTGACCTACTTTTTACACTTTGACTGCTGCTCGTTCCTTTCGTGTTATCTACCCGCTTGTATCACTTTCTGCCAGGGCTGCCGAAGTTATTACTCTGGTACAAACTATTTGATCCTTATCGAGCAAAACTGTATTTCCGGTACCAGGAGCTCACCCCGATGTTATTATACTCTCTGCTCAGCAGTACTAAGGTTAGAAAAAAAAATTCAGTACTTTAATTGTATATTACCACACCTCGTCGGCTCGAGATTTCTTAGGGAATTCCTTGAGTATCATAGAGGTTTCACTGGACAGTACAATATTGTTGGGAGTTAGGGTTATCGCTAGTGTTAGCTGAAAATCGAATACTACTAAGCCTAACCATAACCCCTATACTACTTTGATTAATTCTGATCAAATACAAAGTAAGCTAGTTAATATATATATATATATATATATATATATATATATATATATATATATATATATATATATATATATATATATATATATATATGTGTGTGTGTGTGTGTGTGTGTGTGTTAAGAATGTTCAACTGTTTTTAATAAAGAAAATGTGTAACATTTGGTGTGTTTTGGTACCTTTTCAAACACAAGTTGGTACTATTCCCAAAAATATTTTGGTAGCTCTGTTTTCCACCTCTCGTCTAGGTGTGTGAAGCCATCTTGTTTGTTGATGTGTAGGATAGATTTGCTCAGATATCCCTTGTTTGGTGGAAAATTTTAGGACTCCTGCAGAGAAGAACCTATTGTCATTTTTGTACGTTTCCTGTTTTTGCTGTTCAGCGGAGAACTATTACTTTTTGTCCTAATTACAGTTTTCCTTAGCCTCCTACTTTGCGTGTTTTTTTCGTTTCCTTTTTCCCGCTGGCACATTAAGTTGATTGGGGTTTCTGTGATTTACTGTTATCGGATTCGCATCAGAAAAGTGATTCTATGAGTCACTGGCAGTGTTGCCAGTTTTCTTTGACAAAAAAATCCAGAATAGAGTTTAAAAATATCTAAAAACATCTAAATCTGCGTGTAAAACATCCACATGAAAAGTCACAAATTACATAGCAATTGATATGACTTACCCTATATAATCATGTCTTCATTTTTACTGAAGTCTGCCTTACAAGATTCACAAGATAAACTTAGGTTGGATGATGAAGTTAAAGCTTCAGATCCAAAATGACCCTTGTATGCTTTAGCTGTTCCAATTTCTTTTAATACCCAATCAGGAAGCTGATAAGTGGAACAGCCTTTTCCTACTCTTATCAAGCAAAATTTTATCGTAAAGATAGCATTTAAGAGGTCAAATTTATCCTGTTTCTTAGGTTGGATTTGATAAATTCACTCCAAATGGAAAACATCTAGGAAACATCTACCATCTACACGTCAAAAACGCCATCTAAATGCAAGAGAAAAAATCTGCTCACTGGTTGTCATTCTTTCAGGTTTTCAGGCTGCAATTCCGGAGGGGGGAATTTTAAAAAGTAATGATTACGACGACTATGATGATTGTGGTGGTTGTGGTCAGGTGTTCTTCTCTAGAAAAATATGCACTCCCAACAGTGTCTTAAGAAGGTACCGGTTTTCACCGCCAATTACATGAAAAGGGGTCAGTATTCACCATAACATGTCTGAAAAAAGGTGCCGGTACTCATTACGATGTGTCTGAAAAATGTGCCTGTGCGTACCATGAACTGCGTACAGTTGCCTAGCGCCAGAGGAAGAAAAAAAACCTCAACCTTATGGTAATAATAAGGAGGTGGTCGTGGTAATAATGTTGCTTCACTTACCCCGACGTTATAAACACATCTTTCAGTCATGATCGTTGATAGACTGGCTAAGCCCAGACACAACACAAACACTGTATCTCCAAAAAGCAACATGTTCGAATCTTACAGGACACAAATAATCGCAAGCTGAAAGCTTCCGATAAGTTGTATGAACCACTTTGAATTATTAAATTCCCTTTTTATAAAATCTTCACACAGTGGAAATAAATTTCGCACATGCACTTTTAAGTTTCAACAATAAAAGCCCGATAAGAATTAGATTTACGACTTTATGATACATACTTTGGCCTCCTTCATTTTTGACCTACATTGTTCAACAATAACAACCCGATACGAATTAGATTCACGACTTTATGACACATACTTTGGCCTCCTTCATTTTTGACCTACAATGTTATCGAAATACAATATATGATCATCAAGTGCCTTGCTGATTGGCATGTGCGATACTGCCTTTCTACAATATGTTATCTTCAAATGCGTGTATCAGTTTGTTTTAGCAAGACTGGGAGTTGGGACTTTACTGTTTGCGCCCTCTCAAAAATGGGGATTTGGCTGCAGTGGAACGGTTTAATTTATAGCTCCGTATTTTGGTGAGATTTGTAAGAGCTAATATTGCCATACCAGTGCATATCTACTTTCTTTTAAAAATTGTCTTTTACTATTAGATTCTTCTTCTTCTTCTTCTTCTTCTTCTTCTTCTTCTTCTTCTTCTTCTTCTTCTTCTTCTTCTTCTTCTTCTTCTTCTTCTTCTTCTTCTTCTTCTTCTTCTTCTTCTTTTTCTTCTTCTCCTCCTCCTCCTCTTTTTGTCCCTTCCTTTTCTTCACTTCCACCTTATACCTCAGTATAGTGTCAAGGGGAGATGTAAAGTTCGTTAATGATCTCTGTCAAAAGCACTATTAGGATGATATTCCTTTCTGTAGGTCTGTTCTGAATGCCATCACTCCATATTTTCCGAGGTCTTCCGATCGCTCTATTCCCGTCGTAACGATTTCAGTGTGACTCGCTGTGGTAGATAGTACCAGGGGATTATTGTTAGGTGTCCAAACCACTTCATTTGTAGTTCTTTGTTGACCTGTAAGACTGGCTTTATTACTAGCATTTGTTTGATTTCGTATTCTGTCTTTCCTTGATACTTCTGTAGCTCTTCTACTGCATTTTATTCCCGTTGTCCCAATTTTACGTTCATTAAAGGATGTAAGTGTCCAGCTATTAGATAACAGGGTTTTAATTAAATGGTGCTATAGAATAATTCATGTAGAGCTTTATTAAAACAATTTGAAACATTCAAGTGAATCAAGAGTGAGGAAAAACACCAGCGCTGGGTAGGATACTTATTTTCTCTCTCTCTCTCTCTCTCTCTCTCTCTCTCTCTCTCTCTCTCTCTCTCTCTCTCTTGTTGTACCCCACCAGGACATCAAACAAGCGTTAAACACCCAGTGATACAAAATGCCACCATGCGGATGAGGATCACACGTGGAGAGGTCCCAGAAACCCCTTTCAGCCGTTAGACCTTATTTATGGCCCGGCTAAATTCTGGCCCCACCGGGGCCTTCAAATGATGAAAAATTGCATCCCACACGGGAACGGTGATTAGCAGGATGGATATTTTTTGAGAAAACCGCCTTCTCCTCTCCAGTTCTTTCATGGAAATTTTAGCACGGAAAGTGTTTTTGATTCCATCGTTCCATTTTTTATGGGGTATTCTCTTCGTCCTGTCGCCATTACGCTTCTTCCGCATGGCTTTTTGTGGCACTTGGTACTAGGATAGTCTCGTCAGACAGCCGGACCACCTTCTTTTTCTTCTTCATTCATCCCGAGATGTAACTATGCTGTGCCCGTTTACAGCATGGCTGCGATATTTGCTCCTTTCCTCCGACTTCTGTCAGAATTTGTTGACACAGTTAGCCTTCCCCGACCAAACCACTTGATCTATTGTTATTTAATAAACTGTATGGCTAGTTTCCGCCCGTGTGTCACCGGGGCCCTCGCGGGAAGCAAAGAATAGTGACACTGCACCCTACCAGGCATGTCGTAAGAGGCGACTAAGGGTAGGGTTGGGCTTGAGGTTGGCTACCTCATCCTGTAAAAACCATAGCCACAAAAACCAACCAACCATGGATAAGTCAAAAAGAGAAGCAAATAAACTCCAGCCAACCAAGATGAGGGAAGGCTTTTCAAATAGAAGAAGTATGACACGGTGTGGAGAAAGCCGTAAGGAGTCCGGATCGTTGACTTACCTCCTCTCAGCTAGGAAAACCTCCAGAATTGGCACCTGGAATGTTATAACTCTCTATGATATAGGGAGAACAATGGAAGTAGCAAAGGAAATGAAACATTATAGAATTAGTATTTTGGGGTTATGTGAAACTAGATGGACTGGGACAGGGAAAAGTATTCTCAATTCAGGAGAAACTATTTTGTTCTCAGGACACACAGAGGAAAATTCGCCGCACAGTGAAGGAGTGGCCCTAATGCTATCAAAAGAAGCAGACAGAGCACTAATAGAATGGGAAGCTGTGAGTCCCAGAATAATAAGAGCATCTTTTAGAACAGTAAAACAGAAGGTGAACATGTCGGTAATACAGTGTAATGCACCAACAAATGATAAAGATGCATCTGTTAAGGAAGAATTTTACATGCAGCTTCAAAATATTATAAATAATGAAAGAAAGGGCAACTTAAAAATTTTAATGGGTGACTTGAATGCTAAGATAGGATCAGATAACACAGGTTATGAAGAAATTATGGGGAGTCATGGTCTAGGAGTAATGAATGAAAATGGAGAATTGTTCACAAATTTTTGTGCAGGTAACCAGTATGTTATTGGTGGAAGTATTTTTCCCCATAAAAGAATACACAAGGCAACATGGGAATCACCAGACCATAAGACAACTTATCAAATTGACCACATTTGTATTAACAAAAAGTTTAGATCATCCCTTTACGATGTTAGGGCTTTCAGAGGTGCCGATGTATTTACTGACCATTTCCTGGTGATAAGTAAAATCAAGTTGAAACTAAAAAGATATATAACATCTTATAATCATAGAAACCAATATAATGTAGGCTTTCTCAGAGATAAAGAAATTAAGGAACAGTTCTCAGTTACGGTCTCTAATAAGTACCAGGTGTTGCAGCAGTTAGCTGAAGATGTCAACACAGAAGTCTGCTGGGATCAGATCAAAGGAATCTGGAATGAATCTTGCGTAGAAGTTCTTGGCAAGAAAGAAAGGAAACATAAAGCATGGATAACACCGGAAACCATTAAACTGATTGAAGATAGGAAAAGTAAAAAATGCAGAATTAAACAATAGCAAAACTAGAGCTGCTAAAGCTAGAGCTCAGGAGAATTACACAGAAGCCAACAAGGAAGTTAGGAGGCATATAAGGGCAGATAAAGTGAAATATCTAAATGATCTAGCACAAGAAGCGGAGACAGCAGCAGCAAAAGGAAACCTCAGAGAACTTTACAGTAACACAAGAAAATTAGTAGGTAAATATAGTCAGCCAGCTGGATCAATCAAAAATAGTCAAGGAAAGGTACTTACTAACACTAAAGATCAAATGGACAGATGGGTTGAATATTTTGAAATGCTTCTAAATAGACCAGGCCCAAAGGTTCCCACAGATATCCAGCCTTTAGAAATGGAACTGAATATCAACTGTGAGATACCATCCAAAGAGGAAATTAGAAAAGCTCTAAATCTTCTTAAGGAAGGAAAGGCGTCAGGCCCAGATGGTATCCCAGCTGAAGCCATCAGGATCAACATAAACACATCAACAGAATTGCTACATAGATTATTCAGTAAAGTCTGGGAGACCGAAGAAACACCAGCAGACTGGAGAGAAGGATATCTTGTGAAACTGCCCAAAAAGGGTGATCTACAGGAGTGTGAAAACTATAGAGGAATTATGTTGCTGTCAGTTCCTGGAAAAATATTAAGTAGAATTATTTTGGAAAGATTAAAAGATACTATTGATAAAATGCTAAGAGATGAGCAGGCAGGTTTTCGGTCCAACAGATCCTGTACTGATCAGATAGCCACATTACGTATTATAATAGAGCAAAGCATTGAACTGAACTCACCACTTTACATTGGATTTATAGACTATGAAAAAGCATTTGACAGCATTGATAGGGAATCTCTCTGGAAATTGATGGGGCACTATGGAATCCCACAGAAAATTATCAACTTAGTAAAGGCAACATATAAAGACATGAAATGTCGAGTTCTTCATGAGGGAAAGCTAACAGATGCATTTGAAATAAAAACAGGTGTGCGACAGGGATGTCTTTTGTCGCCTCTCCTATTTTTACTGGCTATAGACTGGACTATGAAAACAGTAACTGCTAACACCAAGAATGGAATTCAGTGGACCCCTACAAAACAGCTTGATGATCTGGACTTCGCTGATGATATTGCCCTTCTGTCCCATTCACGGAATCAGATACAAGATAAATTAAATATACTTAATGCGAGATCACAGCAGCTTGGTCTGAAAATCCATAAAGGAAAGACAAAGATAATGAGAATAAATCAGGCAAATAGTAATGTGATTTCTCTTAATGGCACCCCACTCCAAGACGTGGAGTCGTACACCTATTTGGGCAGTAATGTAGATAAAGATGGAGGAACTGATAGAGATATTAAAATAAGAATACAAAAGGCAAGAGGGGCTTTCATAGCACTAGGGAATTTGTGGAGGTCAAAAGAAATTAAAAGAAATACTTAACTAAAAATTTTTAATTCTAATGTCAAATCAGTACTATTGTATGGGGCGGAAACATGGAGAACAACGAAGGCAATTACTAATAAATTACAGACATTCATTAACTGGTGCCTGCGCAGAATAGAGGGAATAAAATGGTATGATAGAATAACTAATGTAGAACTTTGGGAGAGAACTAAACAGGCTCCAGTGGATCAGGAGGTGAGGAAAAGACGCTGGCGTTGGATAGGGCACACACTGAGAAAACAGGAGAACAGCATAACTAGAATGTCTTTGCATTGGAACCCACAGGGGCATAGGAATAAAGGAAGGCCAAAAAACACATGGAGAAGAGAGCTGGAGAATGAGGTTAGAAAGAT